AGTCAAAGCCTACTTCACCAACCTGGGTTGTAAATGGTCTGTGAATTGTGTGTGTGCCACACAATGGCCCATTCTTTTGCATGTGAAGAACCTTTCATACCGCGCCACCTTAAACTCAGGGAGGGCCGCACGCATGTCACTTGAGCAGTGGCAACCGCTTGGCCATGAGAGAGGAGAAAAGAAGCCGCCGTGCTGACACAGCACAAATCAAGAAGTGAAACAAAACCTAGAGAGCTTGGGAACATGAAAGAACTCACCTTTCATCCTCCTACCTTGATTGTAGTCACAGCATGTCCAGTTTGGGGGCCTTTTCCATACAATATTATATATATATATATGAATTGTATGTCTGGTCGTTGGAAGCTATCAGAAACTATTCAAGTCCTCGGTCATTTCAGCTGCCCTTTGGGAGGTGTTGTTGAGCATCTTCTCCAGTTTTGCGATCCTTAATCAACATCACAACCAAAAGACCCCGTTCTGTCACTAGATGGGAAAGTGGAGGAACATGGAAGACCCAGTGAAATCGTGTAATTAAGGCATATTCCTGAAAATGATTGACCAGTCAAATGCTACACTGCACAAGATACGTCTCTTCTTCGTTGTCAATTGTGCTCACCCTCTCTTATGGCCAACCTCCGAAGGGTAAAACAGGTGTCCAACTACCCGAAGAAGTTTTCCAAAGCGACTGATGAAACTTCAAGAAAGAACGGGGAAGAACCAAAGGACAACGTGATCCACATGCGTTGGCAAAAAAGAAAACAAAAAAAATGCATCAAAAAAAACAGCGCATGATCCACATGCGATGCCCGTAGGCCATCGTAGGCATCGCCAACGAACAAATCGTAGGCCGGGATGCTGGTCAGATGCATCTTTCAGCAAGCGTTGAGCCACAAATTTGTGCTCCTGCATGAGGCCGAATCAATGACGTGGAGTACACCCGTTCAAAAGCCTAGATAAGTCTCAAAACGGAGACTTGTGTTCTAATCGAAAAGAACCTCACCAGTGGTGCTTTTGCATCATGGAGTGCCATGAACTTTTCAAAAGTTCAGTATCCTGCTCTTTGATGGCACCCCTCTGTTTGTCCAAAGTTGCGAGCATCTTCGCCAGCTGCTCGAGCTGTTTGTTGATCTCCTCACAAGCGACCACATCCAATTGGATCTGAAAGGCTCCGGTCAGCGATGGCCTCCAACCTAAGAGCGATGGCCTCCAACCTAAGATCTATGGCCACCAACCTACTAGCAAAAGGAAACTAGTAGTGAACCTAGTAGCCCAGTTCTCTGTTTGTCCAACGCAACTTAAAGGTATCATGTCGTGGCTCTACCTCTTCCCATTCATTCGTGGACGTCCTCCAACACAGATGGAGGTCCACTTCCATTTTTCACATCGCGTTGCCTGCGCAATGCAAGTGTCCGGCTGCCGTCTCTACTCCACTGGTTGCATGGGTTGCTTCTTTAGAGTTCTCGAAGGAGTGTGACATAAACATTTGCTGGCTCACTCACCCGTCGCCACCATCATACAAAAATCTGATCAATCTGAGTAACCCTTCACCCAGTAGAACAGCATAATTAATATAAAGTGTGTACCAACATAAAGAAAAGGCCAACAAGAACAAGCAAGAGTGCCAAAGATTCTCTATCCAAAGTCTGCTTTGAAGTCGGTCCGTTCACTTCGCCTGGAGAGCAGCAGCTTCTGAGCCGACGTGACAATATTCCTGGCTTCAGTCTGGGCTTCACCAGCCTCAGCATCGACAAGCATCAGTCATTGTGTCCATCAAAAACGTTGCAGTACTGAAACAAAACACCAAGCAACCACTTTGATGAACCAAAACGTCACAAGCCAAGGTGAAAAATGAGCAGGTACCCAAATGAGGTCTTGAGTCGAAACAGGGTGTCTCATCTTCTTTTCAGTCGAAACACGCGGTTTCCCACTGAGACTCTCAAGTGCTGACGAATCATCAGGTCCGATTCCAGCGTCCATGTTAGTTTTGTAAAAATGGGATCATGTCCGATCTCTCACAACACCTCCACCACTGCCCAGTTCCTCAAAATCAGTAAAAAGCACTACCAAAACCAGTGTTCACTCCATCTGGGGGATTTCGTGATTCCGACCACCCGGTCTGGTCTTCGCTCCACCGAAGAAGCTCGGCGTTTTACCGAAGGTCCGGCCCACACGGAGCGGAGCAGAGTGACGGCGACGGAACTCGCCTTCTCGCACGAGGACTTCATGAAATCGGCGCCGAGGGAGTCTCCTTTTTCGGCCAAGGAAACGAAAAAAACAAAACATTGCGACGAGGCCAGCTCGTAAAATCTGATATATGGGCCAAGGATGAAAGCTATTGGACTTACAAGATCAAAAACAAAAAAACATTCAAAAATTTATTCAGCTTATTGAACCATATTGAACCTGGGTCTGGCACCAACCCGACTCAGACAAATGGCTCCGTCCTTCTGGCTTGGTCTCCTCTGCCTCTGCAGACCTTAAGACGTAGGCTGAACAAGACAAGCCTGTGTCCAAAACCAAACAACAGCGAGAACTGGAGCACTGAGCAGCATGCTGGCCGTTTTGACTGAGGTTTTCCAGATTTGCAATGGCCTCTTCGGCGGCTTTCACCTTTTTCTCTGCCTGGGAATTGGGGAGCTCATGGGAGCAGATGTGAGCAAAATGGAGAACGGTGAACAAAGGCGTCTGCCCAACCATGGTAAAGAGCACGGCGGAGAGGAGACAAGAGAAGGTACCGACCCGGTGGCTTCTGTCCTCCATGACTTTTCCCTCCACTTCTTTCTTCACCAGGTCCTTGCTACGAATCACCCACCAAGTCGAGCAGCAGTGTAACAAGTTATATAGAGTGAGTCAAAAGGCATGGCCTGCTTCCGCTCGTTCATGGCTCTCCTTGGTTGCTGCCAATCTGTTGGCTGGAAGAAAGTGAGAAGGATCATGCAACGTGGCACATCAATGCCTTCTTTGCCAATCTACCAGGACACACAACAGTAGCAACTACTGTATATATATATATACCTGAGTCAAAGCGTCTTGCTGTCCGACAGTGCCTTTGTCATCTCGTCCAGGCGTGTAACAACTCCACTGAGCTGTTCCTCGCGTGCAGTCCAACTCCACGGGACGGGCGAATCACGAAGGACGCGGCGGAGTCGGAGTCGCGGAGTTCTCCTAAGCCTTTTCACCTTCCAGGAAGAGACTCGTCGATTGAATTCTTTCAGTTGGAAAGTACATCCAACATGGAAATGACACTGCAGAAAGGCATCGAAAATCCGTGAGCCCGGTGGAGCCCCCGGTGGGGCCCCGGTCGGGCCCGTGGGTCCTCTGCAGCCTTCTTGGAGCCTTCGCCCAAGCGCCGCGCTGCCAGTTTCTTGACCTCAAAGTGTTCCCGTTTGACACTTTGCCGTAGCTCATGGGATTGGCCGATGAAATATCGTGAAAGCAGACAGTAAACTGCCTTGCTGAATCCTGTTGAGCTTTGGTGGTTTTGGTGATTTATCTGTACAGTTCCGGGGGGGCCCGCAACAGGAATTACTGCAAAGTGAAATCCAACGGGCCATTCCAAAGCAGCTCATCTCTTGAGCCACCCCACGCCCACGAAGGTCTTCGCACCACTCAGCGTCTGGGTGGCAGCTTGAGCTGCAGCATCCAAAGCAGACAAGGCGTCTGAGACCTGTTCTCGGCTGTCTTGGAGAGTTGCCCAAGAGGCAAGGACATGGGAGCTTGGGTCCCCACACGAACAGGGAAAAGCTCTCTATGAGTCTATGTCAAGGAGCATCATTCCGACCAATTCTTAGCTTTGATTGTGGAATGGATGTCCATGACCACACGTCAGTCCCACACTTGCCAGTATCACACATCAGAAGGTCCGGTCGGGGCGTGCGGACCCTGCCCTGTCGATCCACCATTCGCCCCCAAACAACTGATCCAACCCGTGCCCGGCGGCAGAACTCGAATTATTGTGGCTAGGCCGCCGAGCTGAATCAAGCCGAATTCTATATATTATATATATGCATCCCGGTCGCATCTTTTCACTCAAGGCCAGTGCACATCT